TACATGTGAAAAGTACTAGTAGTTGGGTTATGATGTTGTTCCGCAACTGATTCATTCAGAAAATAATTGATAGTTAAAATTAAGTGCATAAAAAAGCAAACAAAACTATGGCTCAGTATATCGTAAACAATTGAACTTGTTATTTGGGTTTCCCCTGATTTGGGGTGTTACAGTATTTATTGCTCAAAACTACATGAAAATAATACTCAGTAATATAATAACAATGATGTATTTTACTTGATTTTGCCTAGAAGCACTTCATATATCACTCGTACTTACGGTACTGATGTATGTTTCACTGTGTAAAATTGTGTGGTATATACAGCTGGGTGTCAATATGAAATAATTACATAAATACACACAGCAATTTAAGATTAGATCTCTAAGAAGTTATTAGTGTCAAAGATACATGTAGGTGTATATAATAAAACAATATTATGATAATAATTATTTACCAGAATCATATTTCAAATACTGTATCTAATATTTTATTTTGGCTGGAATTAATTTTCGCTGAAAGGATTTTTTGGGTGTTTTTGTATGGAATTTATTTTCACTGAATTTTGACAAGTTGAATGTAAAATATAGGGAAAAAGTTATATTCACTGGATTTTATTTTCACTGAATCATTCCTTCAGCGAAAATAGCGAAAATTAATTCCAAGCGAAAATAAAGTATTTTACAGTAGTAGCAAAAATCAAAATACTGTAAAACCTTCTAATATTGAGAGAGACAATTTTTTGCAATTTCAGTGAAACGCATGAAACTCTGTAGCAGTGAGAATTCTCTGGGGTCCTCAATATGGTGTCTCGGTGACTATCCTGAAATTCTGTTTTCACTATTGCCATTGAATCGTCAAAATTCGCAGCAGTGAAACAGTTTTCAGTGGATACTGGTACCCTTATTCTGCACCAATACCTTGAATCTCTGTTTATTTGTTTTTAGCGGTACTCTGTCAAAGAAGATGTCCTCAATTTCTGTGCCGTCAAATGTCCTCTCAGGGATCCAATGAAAAACTAGGACCTAAGATAGTAGTGGCAGTAGGAGCTGCAGCAGTGTTGGTTGGCGGAGCATATGTAAGTACATAGATACACAGAATATCAAGTCGTAACCTTGATTACCCACCCCTGGTGCGAATGACAAACTGACGCCTTTGACCATCTTTGCCCACCTTTGCTCGGTGTAGGGGCACCTTATCACAGGATCAAAGTTAGGCAAAAATGGACGAAGGTGACATTTTGCTATCTGTGGCTGGAATGAGTAAAGAAAGGCATGATCCTTGGAAGAGAGAGGAAGGATGGAAAGTTAACCTATTTACCTGGGTACCACCAGTCTTTTTTAACCTACATTTACTTTTGCACAGTACAAAATCACAAACATTTTAAGGTAACTTAAAAGTTATTGTTCTGCTTCCCTTTACACAATTGTTGGTATCAGCTGGATTTGCTTTTTTCCCCAAAAAATTACAATCTGTTTAATTCCTTTGATTAGGAGTTGTCGCTGACAGATTTGCATCAAAGAATGAATTGCTCTGGGGTTTCATTTTCTTTGCCAGCAGGGACACATGCTCTAGTTAATGCAATAACTTTGATTGGTAGATCACTGCTAATATGAACTGTTAGCATTTTTGTTACCAAAAGTTAAGCCATACATGTAGTTGGATTGTCCAGCAGTGAGTTGTAAAAATGACCCCCAACAAATGAGTATGCATATTACCCTAATTGTAAAATTTAAATTACAGCGTCCACAATGTCCACGTCTATGAACAAAATAAGAAATATATCAATGATTCAATATGCAACTAAAACAATTTTTGGTAAATGTGCATTTCAATTGAAAATAAAACAAAAATACGGTATATTGATTCTATTGGACAGTGTAAATGGTACAAAATGTTAAAGGAGGTGGGAGTCACCTGCGCATGCGTCAGATGGCCATCGCGTGTCATTGTTTACAAACAAGCATCTGCCCATGAGCCTTTGCATTTTTAGCGTGTGTTGTTATCATTGCTTGGGACTCAATTCCTGCGTCTGCGCAGGTGACCACCCTCCTGCTCCAAAGAAAGAATAATATAATGTGTACAACAAATCATATTTTCTTCAGTTAATGCTAAATGAATAGTATAACATGGTACATGTACATGGCATAAATACTATTGTTTTACGTAATCTTGTCTAGATGTACTATGAACAGAAACCAAAACAAGAAAAAAAAGATACACCATCGGCACCTGCTGAAAAGCGTCAGTCACAGATACCATCCTCTAACGTGTCCAAAGTAGAGAGCTCAGAGTCAGCACCGGGACTGTCCAAATTACAACCGCAAGATGCAGGATGGGGTAGGTAGTGCAATGCTTTCTCTAAAGTTGCTTTTAGTCTACTTTTCCCAATATCTGTGTGTTAAACAATACACACTGAATGCTAACTTTTTGCAGTTGAACCCTGTGTATATTTTATTTAAGGAATAAAGGACTACTTTGCCTAGTATTGCATGATAACAGGGCAAGGATAGGGATGTGTGTAATAAGGGGCAAAATACAGTTCAGCCAATTATTTAAGCAAAGATTCTCGACTGAGCCCATGACAATTGGCAGGGAAGAATTCTTTATTTCAAATAAAATATCCTGGCTGTCCAAAATTTTAATAAATATGCACGGAGGTAAATTTCCAGGATTTCTCAACCTTAAAAAAATTAATGGTAAGTTTTTGATGGAGAAACACTAAATGTTCACGAGTCACACACACATAATCTTGTTTGTAGACTCGTGCATTGACCTCAAGTACTGGTACTAATCACCCAATAAGAATGCAGTGTTTCATTAATAGGCAGTGCTCAGTATTATAATCATTGTTAATATGTTGAAAGATTCTATAAAGTTATCCCTAACACATAGATGGCTCTTTTTGTTCTTAGTTCCTCCTTCTTACACATATCCTGACTTGGATGAAGCACCTGAGTTACCCGGATATATTCCTTATTTGCTGATTGGTGGCGGTACCGCTTCATTTGCTGCATTCAGAGCCATCAGAGCTAAAGATTCTACCGCACAGGTTAGTTTACACCTTCTTGGTCAGCCACGGGTCATTACACTTTATCAAAATTTTTTTTTTTAAATCCCATGCGATGTTTTGACATAACTGGGACGCTATGACTTTTGTTTGTCGTGTTTTTACATTTGATATAACACATAATGCGGCAGTGAATGAAAAATGGTCTATTGATTTTCCCTCTGAGAAGTTTTTCGTCTTCGCATGCTCAGTTTTAAACCTCACACATTTGTTTACAATTTTGCAAATCAGCATTGTGCGCCACCCGTGGTGGAATCTCTAAATGTTTGTTTTCTGTTTCAGAGGTTTTTTCGATCTAAATATTTTATAATGCATGTATTCAAAATAATTTATTGAACATTGAACATATGTGATATTAAATTACCTTAAATTAATACAAAAATCACAATCAAGAAGCAAGATTGCTTAAAAATACAATTGATTATTAAGATTTCCTACCCTGGTCACTTAGCAAAAGAGATGCTAAGAATGGTTCAATTATTTCACAGCATCCAATCAGCTCAGCTATTAAACAAAATTAAAGACTATAAAATGAATGATTGAATGAATGATTGAATGAATGAAACAGTTTATTGCATATTTATAAATTTTGTTTTAGATTTTAATCGTCACTGCAGAGGATCACCTTCCATACATGAGGCCGCCATTATCAAAAGAATTCTGGTTCAGTGATGATAAAAAGGCTGTGGAGAATCTTAGATTTAAACAATGGAATGGCAGAGAAAGAAGGTATGTACCTTTCTGAAAATGATAAAAATCAGTAAAATTTAAAGCGAGGGAGTCGTCACCTGCGCATGCGTCAGATGGCCTTAGCGTGTCATTGTTTACAAACAAGCATCTACCCATGAGCCTTTGTGTTTTTAGCGTTTGTTGTTATCGTCGCTTGTTGGTACTCAATTCTCATTCATCCACAGGTGGCAACACTCCTGCTTTAATTATATTAACATATTTTATCGAATTTTATAAAAAAATTGTGAAACTTTTATTTCGAATCATTTTCACTTTACATTTACATCAGCAGAAATTTTCTTTTGCATGAAAACACTTTTGGTAATTCCCATTACCCATGAGTCTGTGTTTTATTGCTCAATCACGGCTGATTTATGCAGAACACACATGCGCTTATGAAAATTATAGCTAGGTGTTTTTATTTTTTGGGTAGTATTATCCACCTGTTTAAGCATAATTTGCTTGTTTCTCATTGTTTTCATCCATCATGTGAAATTTACAGTATCAGCTTGTTATTTTTGTTTGCATAAATTGTGATTAAATTTTATAAGCTATGATAAGATAGATCAGTATACTGTCAACTGCTTAATTCCTGAATCCCAAATCACCATCAGACGTGATGTAATTCGATTTGCGCGTTTGGAACGTTCAAAATCTGTTCTACCTTCTAAAGGACACGCAATATGCGCAAGCGCACAAATGATAAACACGTAAACGCTATCAATTGGAGAACTGAGAAAATTGACATGAGACAAATGAAGGAGTCGGTGAAAAACTTGAAATTTTATAGCAGTGAGAATTGCTCTGGGGTCCTATGACACAGAGTGTCTGTGATTTTCATGCAATTTTGTTTACAGGAATGCCTTAAAAACATTAAAAATAGTCAGTGTTACTTAAATTGTGCCCTATTATTGAATTTCACTGTTGATCTGTGTATGCCATTTGAACAGTATCATTCCATTTTGATGAACTAGTTAATCTGACAATCTTTTTTTTCACCTTGTTCATTTCAGTATATTCTTTGAACCAGCAGCTTTTTATTGTCGTCCTAATGAACTACTATACAAGGAGAAAGGTGGGGTTGGTGTAGCTACAGGGCGGAAGGCAAGTATCATTTCCGCTTGTTAAAAATATTTAAAAAAAAACTATTATAAGCTAATCTTGTATGACCGAAGCACCAGTTGAATTGAGTGAATTGAATTTAGTTTAATATTCAATAAATGTATAGACGTAATCTATAAATTAACAAATAATGTAATTATTATATTTATATAAATTTGTTACAGGTTGTAGAATTGGATCCTGTTGAGAAGAAAGCTTATCTAGACAACGGATGGGAAATCTACTATGATAAGTGCCTTATTGCAAATGGTAAGATTCGTTTATTTGATTTATATGTTCTGCTAGAATCAAATGGCAATTAAATTTAATTAAATTAAATTAAATTTGTTTACTAAGTTAAGTTTGTGAAGCCAGCTGAAATATGATTTTTATCTATCCTATACAGTGAACTTCTGAAAGTCATGAAAGTTTTGTATGGAAATTTACTAAATATTTTTAAAACATTTTATTCTGGAAGACCCTTCATTCCAATCCAACGATTTGGCTATTGAAGCAATTTGGTAAAATTATTACCCATGAGTCTTTGTAGGTTTCTTTTGTAAAATGCACAACACAAAGAGTGTGGTAATATTCATGATAAGTGCATGGATCTTTTTAGCTCCACTATTGATGAATAGAGCGGAGATAATCATATTACTGATTGTCGACTGTGTCAACCTTTCACATTTTTGACTTCTTGAATACCATATTGTACCTCAGGTGGACCACTCTCAGATTTGTTAATTTCATAATGATATCTTCAATTCTCTAATTATGATGAATAATTTTGTCATTTTTTGTAAAATGTAATATTTTTGACTTCTTCTTGAATACAGCATGACTGATTTCTTTCATAAATATACCGGTATTAATATATACATGTACCTGGGGATACTTCAGGTAGACCAGTCTCGGTTTGTTCATTTCAATATATCTTCAATTCTCTAATTGAAATGTAAATTGCTAACAGCGGAGCTATCTTAGCCAAGAGGCTACTTGTCTTAAGTTGTTGTGTTTTTTTTAAGGTGGAACACCAAGAACTTTACCAGCTTTAGTGAACGCAGATGACAAAATCAAGAAGAAGACAACATTATTTCGTACAGTGAGTATATGTAATACAATGTGTTATTTTTGGATCTCTTTCTAACATGAATGGTTTGAAAAATAAACAAATTGAAGGCCATCAAATGTGTATGTGGTGTGTTACTCAACACCTAGCTGCTGGCAACAACTGAATTATTCATAACATACAATTCAGTGTCCATTAATCCATCTACGTAACCATTATTAACAAATCACCCTCTGAAATCTTCCACAGAAACTGTAGAATACTTTATTTTTGCTTGGAATTTATTTTCGCTGAAGGGATGATTCCGTGAAAATAAAATCCAGCGAATATACTTTTTTTCCTATATTTCACATTAAACTCATCAAAAATCAGTGAAAATAAATTCCATACAAAGCGCTAAAAAGCCTTTTCAGCGGAAATTAATTCCAGCGAAAATAAAGTATTCCACAGTAGCTGTCATGTTATATAAACTACATCAGCAGGCAATCTGTTATCATGTCATTCTCAGTCAATGTTCATTCTTACTAAATCTCACTAATAAATTCTATTTTATCATTTCTATTTGATGTAGATAGATGATTTTAAAGAACTTGATAGAATTACAAATAATGTAGGATCTGTTGGGATTGTTGGTGGAGGATTTCTGGGAAGTGAATTGGCTTGTGCCTTGGCAAAGAGAGGTAATTAATTTATTATCGGCCAAGTTTAACAGAAATCATGAAAACAACACTATAATTTATGTCACTTTAGCTAATGGTATGAAGATACTACTGTAAAATACTTTAGCTGGAATTAATTTTCGCTGAAAAGACATATATAACGGCTGCTCTGTACGAGTTGTTGGTTGTTGATGAGTTGAATGTAAAATATAAGACAAAGTGCATTTTCGCTGGATTATATTTTCACTGATTCATCCCTTTCAGCAAAAATAGCAATATTAAATTGCAAGTTGAAATAAAGTACTTTACAGTATCAGGGCATAACAAGGTAATACTATGTGGTTATTCCGAGGATGCCGAAAAGTATGCACGAAGACAGTACTGCAGGGTTATTGACCGAAGCGCAACAGAGGTCGATGTGATGGCGTACTGTCTGAGTGCATACTTTGTGGTATGCTCATAATAACCTTATTATAATACATCTTTTCCTCCCATGGAAACGTCATGGAAATGCCGTAATCCAGAAAGTTTAGAACAGATTAAGCGAAATTCTTTGTGTGGAATCCGGTCAAACCCTGGTGGCTGCCATGTTTGTTTTTATTATTAGAGGATGCTTACGCACATAATCGTTCCATATTTGGAATTCGCGTTTCCTAATATGATAGAATGCAAATACCCAGTGCAATACCGCAAAATTACAGCACGCTGTAACTTTTGGCATTACGGTAACAGATGTATAATAATATTTTCCATAGCATGTATAATTGAATATCCAAATATAATTATAGTGTCATCAAGTCAACACACAGGATTGCTGTAACTTTTTATCAAGGGTACATTTAGTAGCACAAAACGTTTTTCAACATTAAGCCTGGTGCAAACTTGTCAAAATTTATTAAGTCTATGAAGTAAATGTGATTTTTCAGTTGAATTGCTTGCTTCAACACATGTACACTCTACACCTGCAAATGATTCATCTGCAACTTGAGTATGGGGTATGCATGCTTTGTTGTTACAAACACAAAGAAGACCGATTAAGTTTTATTTTATTCTGCTTAAAATTGATTCCTTAAAAATGTGTTGACATTTGTAGGTAAAGAGAATGGTTTAAAAGTTCATCAGATTTATCCTGAGTTTGGTAATATGGCAAGAGTGTTGCCAGAATATCTGAGCCATTGGACAACTAATAAAATTATAGAAGGTAAGTGATAGAAGGTATTTATGGGGTTGGTATTATATTACTACACACATGTAGCAGATTTATAATACACAATTCACTCTTTTACTTATTACGTCATTGTCACATGACCATATGTGAATGACATTGCGTATTGATGTATTTATAGAGGGAGTTGATGTGATGCCAAAACACAGAGTGAAATCAGTTAGTCTGGATAATGGAAAACTGGTGCTTAAAATGAAAGAAGGAAAGGATGAGGTAATCTTATGTAATTAATTTGTTGCTCTATTAAAAGTGCATTTTCTTGAAATATAACATCAGTTTCATGGTCCAATCAAATTGCTTCATTCATATCACATGTCATCCTCATGTCAAGGAGGGTTAAAATTGTTCCGGATTAGGAAAGTTTTTGACTGTGCCCCACCCCCCCAATATTAATTGACACAGATACTTTCAAATATCTTAACCTTTTCACCAGCCCAAGTTTTTTTGCACTTTTTTCTTATATATTTCAATATTTCTGGAAATGAACCTTAATTTTGGGGCCAACAAACAAAATTTAAGTAAATTTTCAGTTTTTACTCAAAAACCTTTGGCTATTTTTGTCATAATTTTGTGAAGGAAAGTTCTGATAATAAAAGGGACAATTTGTGAATTTGTGTCTGCCTATTTTTCTGATTTTGCCTTCTACTTCATTTGAGCTTTTGAGTAGGGTTGAGTGTTTACATTGTTGATGGCTCATTACAAGTTAATGTTGAGTTTGACATCTATCAAAAACTATATCTATATTGAATGCAACTTTGAATAAAAAAAAAAATATTCTTGAAACTTCAATAAAACTAAATCGTTATCATAGTGTTCATTTACATTGAGGGTAAACATGGCTCTTTATTTTTAAGTTAATTGAGGCACATAATCAAATTCTCTGTTTTGACAATGCCTGTTTATGTCGGCACATGTGCTTCTGCCAATCTAATTGTGAGGGGTAGAACCACTATGCTATGTGTGATTATAATTATTACATTAGATTCTACATGTAGGTTTGAAATGCTGTTAGTATAAAATATACATATTTTGCAAATTTTCTTGAAATATCAGCTGATATAAAATCAATATTTGAATGCATAGAGAGTTTTATACATTATGTTTTGATACGGAAAGTAACTTTTCCAATCACGTTTTTTCTGGATTTATAAATGTGTAGCTGCCATAATTACTGGTATAGTGCTCAAAATATTTTCTATTTCAGATTTCCTGAATGTTTCTTTTACTTTAGAAGCTATAACATTGAATGATATTTATTCAGCATATCAATTTGTTGTTTGTTGGTTTATTAGGTAAAAGTTGATCACTTAATAGTGGCTGTGGGCATAGAAGCAAATACAGATCTAGCCAAGACGTCTGGTCTTGAAATAGATGATGCACATGGCGGATATAGAGTGAATGCTGAATTGGAAGCCAGGTCTAATGTCTGGGTAGTAAGTACTCTCAACATTCAAGTTCAAATATATTTTTAAAAACAGTGGGTTTCATCGGACTGTACACCGGATAAAATGTCTGGACATATGTTGAATATGTGTTGTTGGATATCACCTGGACTTGCAGCGATTTTAGTCCAAATGACTCAATTCAATGAATGTGTCTTGCTTTGAACTAGGAAATATTCCCATGGATTTTTAGGATAAATATATGCTACTTCATAACCATTTATGTTGATATTCAATGGAGATCACAATCTATATCAGTCTTGGAAAACAAGGTTATCACCCTATTCAATTAAGAAAGCAAAACATGCACTACACACTCTATGATTATATTTTGACACCAATAAAAACTATCTGAGATTATTTTACCTATGTCAACTCTAGGGGTACTACTTGTTAACTTTTCAATTATTTGAAATAAGGGCTCCAGATTGCACAGTGCAATTCTAACAGTGCATTATGCTAACATTCTGACAGAAAAAGTTCTAAGCTTTGCTTAGAAAACTCGGTGTCATTTGTTGTATTATTGTATTTGTTTGCTTTCATTGAGATTCATTAGAAATGTAGAATTCCAACATTCATGAAGTTTCAGATTTTAAAATTCTAAATATCATTTGTCGTTAGACAAAAAGAATTACAGTGGTTTTAATGTTGGGCTAGCAGGAACAAATTGGTAATTGAAACGTGAATGCATTTTCTTACAGGCTGGTGACGCTGCCTGTTTTTATGACATCAAGCTTGGTCGTCGACGTGTGGAACATCATGACCATGCAGTCGTCAGTGGGAGACTAGCTGGTGAAAATATGACGGGAGCTGGTAAGCCGTACTGGCATCAATCTATGTTCTGGTATGTTTCCCATCTCTCAGTCACACTGAAACACGTCTAATTCTTGCTGTTCTAATAATCATAGTCAATTTTAATAGAGCTTAAATCAATTTTGTTCTTTGGAATGTGACCCAGCCACCCATCTACGTTAAATGAAGTGCCTAATTCAATGTGTTGATACAACATAGACTGTTATTAATAATAATAATAATAACTTTATTGCCCCGTGTAAAAAGATTTACATAGGATAAGTACAGCAAAAAAGAGTTTTAAAATAACAAGATATATGTAAAAATATTGTACAAAAAAAAAAGAACGTAACTAGTTTTTAAATGTTAAATAAATCTTTTTGTTGTGTAAAAATAATTGGCAAGTTCTATAATTATGCCAGGATCTTTGCTTGAGAGTATATATGTGAACTGTATATTTTTATTGTTGGATGAAAGTAATGTCATAATTTTTTGGATGAAGTTTTCCCTGTGTGTGTTATATTTTGGGCAATTCAATAGAAAATGTTCTTCATCTTCAATTGAATTTGAGTCACAGTTATTGCATATTCTTTTGTTTATAATTTTCTTAGGCAATGAATATCTGCCTTTCTCTATTGCCAAGTTATGGTTACTAACTCTAAATTTTGTTAACATTTTCCCTTTATGAGTGTCAAGCTCATTCAATTATGGCTCAAAGATGTATTCTGTTTTAAATTTAGCATATGTTCTCAGTTTGCTATTTTCTTTGGATATCATTTCTTTCCAGAAAGGGAAGTTTTTGAAATTTTGATTAATTTGATATTTTTGTTTGATAATGAGTGTTTTTCTTTTACGAAGTTTAGTGAATTGTCTTTCAATATTTGATTTATGTATGTATTTGAACCCCTGTTTTCTACTCTTTAGGAGTGATTTGGGTCCAAACATTGGGTATGAAGCTATTGGTATTACAGATTCCAGTCTGCCCACAGTAGGTGTATTTGCTAAGGCTACAGAGAAGGATACACCAAAGGCAGCCTCAGAGGCGTCAGGGGAAGCAATGAGATCAGATTCTGAAATGGTGAGTGAGTCCGGACTTGTTTCTATTGGTTGTTGTAATAGATAGTTCTATTTGAGATATTATTGATTATGCTAGTACAACTATTTATAACATATCATGCCAGAGACTTCCATTGCTGTACATGTAGAGAGTTTGTTGGTATATTTTAACCCTTTGGGCCCAATTTCTTTTACTGTCAAAAGGAAGTAAATTTTTTCACATTTTCTGTAATTTTCACTTATTTCAGTCTTAATTTTGGACTAAACAAACAAAATGGGACATTGCTTCTTGTTTTTGAGGAAATAATTTGCAATTTTCGTCAACATTTTCTGTGGAAAAGAGTTGCACAATAACCCATACTAAAGTTTGTACCAGTATGTTTGCAATATCCATTGATATTCCCAGGTGCACAATGATTTATCAATTGTTCTCACGTAAAATTAATATAATTTTAATTGTCATATTTTGTTGTTGTACTTTCTCACTCAAAAACATTCTAAGGGATAATACTAGTCTAGGATTAAAATATTGCTGTGTTCCTACATTCTCCGCATTTTGTAACTGTAGTCATATGAAAGAGAAAACCTCTGTTTAGTTTCAAAAGTTTACTGGACGTGGATCAAAAACATGATCACAAAAATGTAATTTTTTCATTATAGAATCAATAAATGATGTTTTTTTTACTGAGAATAATAATTCCCATTAATTATTAAATTTATTAATTTATGCAATTAATATTAACGTTTCAGCTAATTGCATCTTTTTAGTTCCTCTCCCTTCTGTCTCTGAATATAAACATGTTTCTCAGACTATTGAATTTCTAAAAGAAACATTGTTTGTTCAATGACCCTCAGTATAAGTTTAGAGGGTATCCTGTTATGGTTACCTCATACTATTGTTATGTGGCCGACAATAATGTAGACACACTGCCTTGTGCTTTGTTATCACTCAAACCAGTCACATGTAATTATCTATTTCTAGTCGGCTATGAATGAAGAATCAGTGCCATCCACGGACCAGTCTGCGGCACCCGTTTTAAAAGTACCAAATATGGATGAAAACTTTGGTAAAGGTGTTATATTCTACATGAAGGATAAAATTATTGTGGGCGTAATTCTCTGGAATGTTTTCAATAAGATGCCAATTGCAAGACAGGTATGTATACTACACTGACAAATAAACTATTGCAACAGCTTGTTCAAATTGTTATGTGGTTTGTTTCGTTCAGGATTGCAACCAATGAAGAGTGTGTCTATAATAAATATTTATCTGTAATGCTGAATTTAGTGTAATCTTTGGTTCATTTACTGTAGCAAATACAGTTATTGTTTTAATTGTGTCATAACAAAATTTAAATGAATTAACTACAACACATAAGTGGATATGATTGTATCGATTTTTTATTTGAAAAAATAATATGTACATTATCTTGTTCATATGAATTTTATGCTAAAATATTCTATTCCATGTTTGCGAAATTGATGACTCTGACATGTAGCAAGACGATTTTGATGCCGTGCATGTGCACAAGTGTCTGTTTGAGTCATGTGAATACATGTCTACTTTGATTTACTGTCACCACTATATTGTTAAAACTACAAACCAGCTGACTGGTTTGATATGCGCAGCATGTTTGTTAGAAGATTAGAACAAGTTGCGTCAAACGAAAACTTATATTGGGAGATTCATATATAATAGACGATCATGATGCAATTACCTTTCAATTTTTATTTCATCCAATTGTATAGATTACTATATGGTAAAAAATGTAATTATTGACCCGACCAGGACACACTCGTAAATGCATTCATTTACCTGATGACACACCCTAAAAAAATAGTTTGACCCAGGCAGTTCTAGTAATGATCTGAGATGTGTATAGCAAACCAGTCAGTAATTCAGTTAGTGTTTGGAACAATATGGCGGTGACAGTATTTACTCATGTAATCATGAGTCTCAAATAATCTACCTTTGCTAATACATGTAGTATGTATTGAAAAAATTTTGACAGATATCACTCATTATGATGTGCTAGTATTGCTTTGACAAGTTTAACCTGATTTATTGCAGATTCTTAAAGAGGAAAAAGAACATGAAGACCTTAATGAAGTGGCTAAGTTGTTTGCCATTCATGAAAGTTGATCTGGGTTTAATAGCTGTACAGAACTAACAAAAACTTAACATATTTTAGTTGTTCAAATTAGATTTATATATTGCTGGAATGACAAATACTCGTGACTTTTGTCATTGTTTGGCTTGAATTGTAGTCAATGCCTTACGATTATTCTGTATTTTCTGCTGTGCCACTTTTTCTTGAAAGATTGCTTACATTACTATGCATAAAATGTATCATGTATGTGTAAATGTACTTGAATTATTACACAATCTTGGTCTTAAATTTCCACAATAATCTGCAAGCACCTTTTCATGCTGTTGAATTAACTGTATTTTTGATCTCTGCAATTACTTGATACGGTAGATTGAAACTACACATGTTTCACTGCTGTGCCATCTTTCATTCATATAAGCCATTTTTCCAATGATATGTCTAGGTACACCTATGCATTCAGCTTTGAGATTGTAAGCCTGTCAGTCACTGACTATGTTGTAATTCTACACTAAACCGTACTATTATTCCCATCACGTGGCAGTTTAAATTTAAGCCTCAAACCAATTAAACTATTTTAAAATGAGTATAAAGCAAACACTTTTGTTATGACTTGAATTACTATGGGATATGTTTTACAGGGTAACTAGTATGTGGCAGCTCTGCTGTAACATTCTTACACTGAATACTACAACAGAGTAGATTCCTTGTTTACTAAACAGAACATGGAAATCTGTTTGGCTAGCGAGATGCACGGTGTGAGAAGAACTGTATCAATGCATGTATAAGGCTTGCAAAGCACATTAAACTTTCGCTTATCGGGAAATCATATTTCTTCAAACATGCTCGTTTCTGTGTCATTTATTATATATATTTCTGTGTGGGCCATGTATCACAGTTATAATTTCAGAAAGAATGCATGTACTTTGCCTCATTCAAAGTTATTACCACTGACCGACCTCATCTCAACCATGGTCGCATTTCTGATTGTTCAAAGAGTAACTACATGTACCTCTGATTCTACACCTAGATCATGGCCAATCTGTTGAGTGTAGTATATATATATGTATTTACAGTATATAATTACAAGTTTCCAACGTATTTGTAAATACAAGCAAGTGATTTACAAATTTCATATATATAATATTTACGGGAATGAATACATGGCCTAAACAATGGGTCACATGATCAATGGTTCGTGAATATTCGGAAAGTTTAATTACTCGTATGTAGTTTGAAAACAAGTCGCTAAAAAAAATTGAAAATGGCGTCACAAATTTCAAATTGATAGAGGTGCACCCAAATAACTTGTACACTAAGAAACAAAGAAATTGAGTGGCGAGGGAAGTTTTTAAGAAGTCGAAAACCGTAACAAAAATATTCACTCAAAAATAGAGAATTAAAGATATCATTCCGAAGTTAAAAACCTCGCCTACATACGGCGGATGAACAATTACCTATTTAAACAGGTCCGCTGTGTCATCTTCGATGCATGGATATTAAAAATGGTCATTTTAAAAGTTGACTGGAAAGTCAGTAAAATTGCATGGGAAGTTGAAAATATTTATTTGTCGGAAACGTTGACTCGGTGAAGTTGAATGGCAAGTCGGACAACTACAAGAAACTACCCAATACTTCCAAGGGGAATAGGAAAAATTGAAAAAAAAAATTCTAAAGTCAAAAAAATGCTGCGAAAATCGTAAACGTTAGAAATTTTGTTAATCTGCGCGGAATTTTTTGAGGGTTTTGTCATGAATTTGTTTTTGCGTATCTGTTGACCGACTTAATTAGCTGATTATTAGCTGAATTGCTGTGTTATGTCTGTCATCGTTTAGGCCTATTTGAAGTTTTGGACGGAACTTGGCTCAGTGATTTGGAACTAATTACCAGATAACCGTCGCTATTCTGACAGTTGGTATCCATAGTTATTAATGTAGTGAACGATTAATCAAAAGATATGACGTATACAGTACTTAGTGTGATTGGCTTTATGATTTAAGGTTACGCCCTAGAGTCTTTTTACTGCTTTGTAATTGGTTAGTTTTGAAAATGAATAAAGAGAGTTTTGAGTTGGTCTTGGGGAGCACAGCACGAGAGAGAGTGCAGTCCTGGAGAGTCGAGAGCAGTCCTGGAGAGCCTTGGGGCCAGTGTTGACGCAGTCTAAAAGAGAGTTGGGTCAGCTTTGTGATAGTCTTGGGGATATTTCCCCAGGGCGCTGTGTCTTATAGAGTGCTCGATTGACCGACTAAGACGAGAGCTGAAACGTATTTCGTTGTGTGTGTCTTATTTGACTGTAAAGTATAAGTGACTTTCCCGATCCCGCACCTCAAGGGGACGAGATATAGAGACGAGACGAGATTTCCCCCTGACAAGTGTGGAGAACCCGAGAGTAGGAGAATATTCCCCCTGATAGTTTATTGAAAAGTCGGAATATTTAAATGAAATGTGCCACAAAGGTTGTTACATTTAAGTCTGAAACGGTGTCTTGAAAGTCAGATGATTTTTGAAAAGTTTGAAAAATTAGATGGGACAATCGCAAACGTTTCAAGTAAAGTTAATTATTGTTGTAAAGGTGAACAAAACAGAAAAGTACAACAAGATCTTGAAAAGGTTATCAGCTGAGTGTGACAAATTGTTGAAAAGTGTGCAATAGTGCCTGAAAAGTCTGGTAATTTCACGTCGGACCACGATTTAAGAAGAACAAAAATAAAATTGCAACAACGATATTTGGTTGATTTCGATCTTTTCGACATTCAAAATAATGCTTTCATTACTACTTACAGACCGATTGGTGTATTCGGGAATTGTTTTAAAACCATTCTGCCTGTTAATATCCAAGAACATTACCACAATAGACGCACGACACGTCGTTATAAGGCACTGATTGCACAGCGTAACCACACTTTGTCTCGTTGGGTGTTTCGAATCCCTAGAATCTCAGTGTTTGTGACGCGACGTCGACAAACGCACATTCTATTGCCAGGACGCGCTTGCGTCGCCCTGCTGTGCATTCTCCTTCCCAGAGATCCTTGCGACCAGAACATATTCGTAGAAATAGAACTCTGCCTGGGAGATTGCCTGCAGTGCTAACGTCGCTTGATATTCGGCGCGTTCGCTCATCACATTTGCCCGTCGGTTATACACACGTAAACGGCGTAAACCACAAGTTGTTATATACTTGACAGAAATGTGTGATTGTATTTGCAATACTCAGGATACCGGAGACAAACTATAAATGAAAGAAAGCTATACCACCAATCGTCGGAATACTCGATTTCAAAGTTGGAAAAGTTTATTGAAGTTTCACAAAAAATACATTTTCGGAAAGTCAGTAAATTTCTATGGAAATTCAGAAAAGTTCAATGAAATGTCAGAAAATTTATGTGTGTGCAATAATGGCCGAAGTGTCTAAAATGCTTCTACATACTGTAGAAAATAAAACTGCAATCTGATTAATCTGTGTCAAAATAGTAAAGGGTGGAATTATTGTCGGAGAGACTCAATGTTTTTATTTTATTTAATGCTCAGTTTTACCTTATTGCGCTCATATATATTTTTTCTTCTTATTGGTTATTTTGTTATATTCTTTCTTAGTTTGACATCTCACCAAGTGCGTCAACGTGTAGAAGCACATTCACATACATTATTAGTCCCGTTCGGACGAAATCCGAAAACGGGGACTTATGTTTTGACCTCCGTGTGTCTGTGCGTGCGTCTGTGCGTGCGTCCGGACCTGTATCTTAGAAATGCTTGGACCAATCACACTCAAACTTCACACATACATCATACATGATATCATACATATGCACGTCAATTTGTTTCATGATCTGATTCAAGATGGCCGAATGGCGGCCATTTTTGTGCTAAAAATCATCAAAATCAAGCATTTCCCGGCTGTTTACAAATGGATCTTGATAAACATCATTTTGTTTTACGATCTGATTCAAAATGGCCGAATGGCGGCCATTTTTGTGCTTAAAAATCAAGCATTTCTTGGCTGTTTACAGATGGATTTTGTTCAAACTTGATATATTATACATTAGACATTATGGGACCTTGATGCAAATAATTTTGTTTTTCAGATAACATTCAAAATGGCTGACTGGCGGCCATTTTGTTTTAATGAATGGGCTTCTAGACCCATATTTCCAACTTGGTTTGACTGATTATGTTCAAATTTTAAATATTCATTATACATCATATCATAGATAGACAGATATATTGGTTTGACGATCCTATTCAAAACGACCGAATGGTTGTCATTTTTATGCTAAAAAATCGTCAAATATCAAGCATTTCTGGCATTTATGGATGGATTTCGTTCAAACTTGCTACATACATTAAACATTACGGGTTCCTGATGCACGTCATTTTATTTTTTAGATCAGACTCAAAATGGCTGTCCGGTGGCCATTTTGTTTTAATGAATGGGTTTCCAGACCCATACATGTATGTCTGACTTGTTTTGACTGATTATGTTCAAATTATAAATATTCATTATACATCATGTCACAGATATACGGATATATTGGTTTGAAGATCCTTTTCAAAGTGGCCTAATGGTGGCTATTTTTGTGCTAAAAAAATTGTTTTATTTTTTAGATCGGATTCTGAATGGCTGACTAGTGGCCATTTTGTTTTAATGAATGGGCTTCTAAAGCCATATCTCTGACATGCTTTGACTGACTATGTTCAAATTTCATATATTCATAATGGCTGATTTTGTTTTAATTAATGCTGTTCTAGAGCAATATCTTTCAATACTCATTTGACGATCAGATACAAATGTCAATCATTTAAATGTTAAACAATCATCATATTCCTGACATGTTTATATTCCAGCTATATTACTATAAACAAAACTTTATATCTTAAATTTTATAACTAACGGGGACTGTGCCATGCATGGCTTGTTTACTAATAACATTGACATCAGTTTAAACAGGTATATCCAAACAATAATAAAATCGACAATTTATACTTTGAAAAATGAATATGAATGCGTGGGTAACATAACTCTCGAGACAAAAGTAGA